GCCGTCAACCAGACAGTGTCGGCTGGCGACACCCAGGGGGAGAGCCTTCTCTGTCGGAGCACCCACCCTCTGGAACGAGCTGCCCCCAGAGATCCGGGTGATTCCGGATCTCCCCTCCTTCCGCCGCGCCCTCAAGACTTGGTTATTTCAGCGGGCAGGACTGGCCTAGGGGTATTTTAATTGGTTTTAACAAAATTTTCGTAGAAGCGGCCTATTCAAATATTTATTTTTAATCATTTTTAAATTTTGTATGGTATTGTATTATTGTTTTTAAACTGGCTGTAAGCCGCCCTGAGTCCTCCGGGAGAAGGGCGGGGTATAAATTTAATAAAATGAAAATGAAATGAAATGAACTTCAAGAGCCCCAGATGGTATAAAAACCCACTCCCTACATGTGCTCTCTCTCTCTTTTCTTCCAGAGCCATTTTTCTGTCTGGCTCTCCTCTTCAATAAACTGCAACCTTCTTTCTAAAGCAGTTGCCATGTTGTTTATTCCCGACTTGAACTGAACCATGATGAAGACTTTTCCTTCAACAATTTGGCACCCCAGGATGGGACTCCAAGCTAGCCTCTCCAATGGACTGAGACTGGTAAGCCCCATCTTGCCGGCAGCAGATCCCTTGTGTCTGTGGATGGGTTTCCCAGGCTCTGCCCATGTGGAGCCAGGGTAGTAAAGGGAGTTTTGGGTTTGAGCTCAAAGGTTGCTTTGGAAAGAAGGTGAAGGTGAGTACCTCTAAATTTTAACTTTAAAGCCCAGGGGAGTAAGAGAAATGTGTGTATGTCTCTGTATGTGTGAGTGAGAAGACCCTTTTTCCCAATCACAGTTGGATTTTGCTCCCTTTGGCCTTTCATAACCGCAGAAAGGATCTATTCAAGTGGAGACTCTGGAAAACATGGGGGTTTGGCCAGAGTGCAGGATCTTTTGTTAAGGAAAAGGGAGAGGTTGTTTGCAAATGGAATGAGTGAATGAGAGAATTGGATTTGGGCAACCAGCTGGTAAGGCCCTGTAAGCAAAGCCCATCTCCAGGAGGGGCTCATACTAGTGCACAGAGCACAGGTCCTCCCAGACTCCTTCTGAGTCTGAAAACTGACGGCAGGTGAGGAAGAAGGAGGCACCCATATCTGTTGGAGCTGAAAGTGACAGGTCCTCCCCAGACCCCTTTTTGGTCTGAAAAGTGATGGCGGGAAGTTCCCTATGTTGGAGGAACCCGTACTCTGTGAGGGAACCGGAGTCCTCAGGGGCATTTTTTTGTGTGCCCAAAAACTGATGGCGGGGTGGCAGGGATAGTGTCGCTAAGTGTGGCTGGGCAATGCCACTAGGACCCGACTAAGCCGATTGAACCCCACATTGTAAGGGGAACATGGGTAGTTCGAGGATCGGAATTAGGTCACCTATTGGAGATTTGCTCGAGGCGTGGGGTGAGAGGCGAGTGCCCATCCTGGATAGTATGAAAAAGAAAGTGAGCAAGAGAAATTTGTGAAGAATGGGCTTTGCTCAGGGCTTTGCTGTTCTGTCCCCGTTCTGACCCACACACCCAAACAGCCAGCCGAAGGTTAAAGACTTCTCCAGACATCACTTCACCGATAAGAAACTTGGCAGCAGCTCCGTAGCTGCCTGCCAAGACCTTTTACTCCAAGCACACAGAAACAAAAACAATACACACAGTTTAAAGCCACAGCAAACTACTTCGCCAGAGATTCAGCTTTTGTCCGTCACAGAGGTCCAAATGGCCACCACCACCCTTTTATAGCCTGTGGGGTGTGATCCAGTGATTCAGCTTAATCTCTGGCACGTCTCTTTTTCTGCTGCGCACGCTTGTCGCTGCTACGCTGGCGTGGATCCAGCCACAACTTCTCTTCCTCATTATCCGACACACCTGGCTCCTGGCCCATCTCAGAAATACCTGGCTCCTGGCCAATCTCAGAACCACCTGGCTCCTGGTCAATCTCTTCTCTGTTGGGAGACACCTGAGGCATTGCCAAAGAGGAGGGTCCTGGAGAGGGAGGCCTGGCCATCTCCTCTCCTTCATGTTCGGAGCCTTCGTCCTCCGATAAGAGGGGCTCACAAGACGGAGCCACAACATTTGCTGGGAAACCAATATGGCTAAATAAAGGTATTTATAGAAATAGTGACTCACTCTCTCTCTCTCTCTCTCTCTCTCTCTCTCTCTGCAACCATGTGATATGTTTAAGATTTGTGCCTTTGCTAATTTGAATTACCGTATTTATTGGTGTATAACACGCACTTTTCCCCCCTGAAAATAGGGGGCAAATGATGTGTGCGTGTTATACGCCGATATAAGGTCTCCGCCACCCGGCCCCACCTCGGCCCGGGCAGCCACGGCCCTTCCCCGTCCTCCTGCTGCTGCCGCGGCCCTTCGCCACCCGGCCCCACCTCGGCCCGGGCAGCTGCGGCCCTTCGCCACCCGGCCCCACCTCAGCCCGGGCAGCCG